AGAGAAGAAGACAGATTAAGTTTATTTTATCCAAAGCAATGAACGATAGGGGTACAATTGTTATGAAAATGAAGGACCCTGGTATTTTAGTTGGATATAAGATATACTGAGCTCGTGTTTTGCAATTATTTATTGAAATATAAGCTGGTATTTCTAAGATTTACAATGACTTATGGAATTGTTCAGGATGCAAAAGAAGATACTATTTGTAAGAATGTGATGGAATTGAATTTAAGTTCTTTCTGAACACCAAAAAAAGCAGCCTCTTTCTCCTCTCCTATTTTTTCACTTTCCTTCCTTACCCTTCCCTGCTTCCCTTTTTTCAAAACTTAAGTGAACAAAAAACAAACATGTGTCCCATCTTTGAAGTGTTTTTAATCAGATTACATTTATTTTCCCCATTCTTGTATTTTTGGCTAATTTCTTTTCATGTTGAAAAAGTTTATATTTAGCATTAGCCAGCTGGGCTAAGTTTAGATGATTCCAATTTTGTGGGCAACATCTAACGCGTCATAGTCAGGAGCCAGTGGAACACATGCCTTCTTCTCACCTTCAGGCCTGATCAAGGTGTTGACCTTGGCTATGTCAAGGTCATAGAGCTTTTTCACAGCCTGTTTGATCTGATGTTTGTTGGCTTTGACATCCATAATGAACACAAGTGTGTTGTTATCTTCGGTTTTCTTCATGGCAGACCCTGTGGTCCAGGGGAACTTGATGATGCCATAATGGTTTAGCTTATTTCTCCTGGGGGCGCTCTTCCCAGGGTATTTGGGCTGCCTTCTTAGTCTCGGGATCTTCGGCCACAGGAAGGTGGGTGACGTGCGGATCTTTTTGGGGGGACTGTGGACGCCTTTCAGCGCGGCCTTCTTTGCTTTTAAAGCCTTTGCTTTGGCTTCCGTTTGGGGAGGGGCAGGAGCTTCCTTCTTCGCCTCGGCGCCATCTTCGTGAAAAGCTGTTTTTTTAAACAACTATTTATTTCTTTTATTGGATATATCATGTCCATCTTTGTAAAAAGATGGCTAAGAACAACTGTTTGTGACACAGCATAGAAAAGTAAATTAAAATATAAAATCTACAAATATTGGTTTGGTAAAATTTTCTATTTTCCAAACTTTTCCAGAGAGGAAAATGTGTTTGTTATTTTTACTCTTGTAATTTTTATGTAACCATAGCAATAAAATAAAGACCTAAAAGTTTTGAAATGTTTAAAATTCTGGCTTGCCATTTAAGTTTTGAAATGTTTGTAAGGCTAATATAAAATGACTTTCCCTCCAAGGATCAAGTGGGAATGGTTCAAAGAGTAGAATATCTTCCAACATCATCTTTGTTTTGAAGTGGATTTTATGAAGAAAGTGGAGGTTGTAGCCAAATAACTAGTCTTTGTGCTTATTAAATAACAAGCCTTTCAACTAGTTATTATTCGGGCATTTGGTTAGGTTGAAGTTGCCCATATTTAATCTTCTCTACTCTGAATTTATGTGTTTGAATTAATTCAGTACCGAGATATGGTTTCTGCATATCGTGAAATATGTCTGCCCTGTCGTTTTAGCCAACAGAGAAAGAGAAGAGTTTTATTCTTTGGGCGTGTGTTTGTATATGTTCAGTGTATTTGTTTATTTCCTAGTGAGAAATATTTTAAGTTGTAGGTGCACCGCCAGCAAAGCATTTCTCCACAGCTCATTTGTTTTATAGAAACTGCCAGAGTGAATTTAGCGCCCTGTGTGAGCAGGCAGTGGACCTATGAGCCAGGTGCTTGTTCCCATTCCCTCTTGATGATGCTTGATGGTTCATTAGCATTCTCTCTTCATATCTAGCTAGGGAGAAAGTTATCAAAAGTACGATGTTTACTGTCACTGCGAGAAAAAAAGAAGCAATAAAACAGTTAGGTTATTGAAGTTTCATCTTAGTCATTGTATCCTGAAATGATGGCCTGCCCTTTTTTATTCCGGGTTCACATTAAGCGGCAGGTATGAATCACACCCCCAACTGCCCCCAGGAAGGGGAGCACAACCAGGCTGCCTCCTTCTGCGCTCCGCAGAAACTGCTTCTTTCTGGACCCAGCCATTTCTCTGAGAGGAGAGTCTATCTGAGCGAACGTCATGTGATGCCCAGCACAGCATGAGGATCGGAGGAAGACTCATTAAAAACCTGCGGATAAACAGATGGCACAGCCTGGTGGCAACAAGAGAACTTGAGGCACTTGCTGATGAACATCAAAGGCGACCACCTTCCCTGTGGTTTACCTCGATCTCAATAGAAAGAAAGCCAAATGATCACACCTGAACCCATCAGCGGCATCAGGATAAATGCAGGAAATAGTGACGTCATCAAAGGGTTTCGTTTGCTTGGGTTCGCAATCCGGGCTCATCCACGTCAAAATCACACAATGTAGGAGAGTGCACAAATCTGGGACAAAATATTTTTCCCTTTATTATTAATAAATCATTTTATTGGGGGCTCTCACAGTTCTTATAACAATCCATACAGCAATTGTATCAAGCACCTTTGTACATATGTTACCTTCATCATTTTCAAAATATTTTTTCTGTTTGAACCCTTGGTATCAGCTCCTCTTTTTTCCCCCTTCCTCCCCTCCCTCTCACCATCATGGACCCCTGATAAATTATACATTATTATTATTTTCATATCTTATACCACCCGCTGTCTCACTTTGTTCACATTATTGTTGTTTGTCACCCTGGGGTGGGGGGTGGGGCAGATTGTGCATCATTGCAGTCTGTTTCATTTCTCCCCTTTCTTCGCCCACTTCCCCCCTACCCTCATGGTATCGCTACTCCCATTGCTGTTCCTCAGGGGTTTATCTGTCCTGAATTCCATGTGTCGAGAGCCCTTGATTATGCTCCATTGTACTTGCTCCGGTAGAACTGGCGTCATGATGGTGGGGGGAAGGGAGCATTAAAGAACTAGACAGATCTTTTTAAAGTGAGCGAGCATTTCACTTGGAGGACTGATGTGTGCCTGTTGCAAGCTTTGGTATTTTAATGGCCTGAAAGGCATGTGGAAGGTGGGCAATGAATAAGCAAAACAGAAGAAGAATTGATTCATTTGAATCATCCTGTTGGGGGAAGTACTGAATATACCTGTGGCCTGCCAGAATAATGGACAAATCTGTCTTGGAAGAAGAATGGCCAGGATGCATCTTAAAAGCATGAGTGGAGAGACATTGTCTAAGGTATTTGGACTGTTATCAAGAGTGTCTAGTCCTGAGAGGAGGACATCATCGTTATTAAAGTAGGTCAGTAAAAAGGGGGAAGACCCTCACTGAAATGGGTTGGCACAATGGATACAGCAATAAGCTCAAACATAGGAATAGTTGTAAGGATGCACATTTTGCTCTGTTGTACCAATTGACTGGCACCAAACAATAAAAAACAAGATGATCAAATTTTAAAATTAGGATAAAGATAGCTGAATTGTTGTCTAGAAAATTTTTGTCCTTGTGGGGGGAAGACTGCTCTGTGCATTTTTGGATGTTCAGCAGCATCCTTGACCTCTACCAACTAGATACGTGTAGCACCCCTTCATTGTGGCATCCAAAAGAGTCGGTGGATTTTTCCAAATGTCCCCAGCACAACA